CCCCAGGGTCCCCCATCCCCCAGGAGCATTGGGGGGTTGTTGCAGGAGGGAGAAGGCAAAGAAGTTGTTCTTTCATGCCCAGACATTTTAAAAGGGCCCTAACCTGTAGCCTGTTCACTTCTCTTTTGGTAAAATACCCACGAGCTGCTTAGACACATGCAGGAAACTTCTCACTCATACCTAGTGAGCATCTCTAGCATTTTAAATAACTAGAAATTCCTGTTTCTTGCACCTAATATCTGTTCTGAATTGTTATGAGTTGTAAAGGTCACAGCGGGATTGAACACATGAAGGTGACATATTAAATCAGACCATTGGTCCTCCATCAAGGACAATATATCTACACAGATTGGCAGTGACTCTCCAAGGTCTCAGGTAAAGGTCTTTCACATCACCTGATTATCTTAACTGGAGATGCCAGGGATTGAACCTGGGGCTTCCTGCATGCCGTACTGATGTCCTACTTTGAATATATTAGCTTGCAGCTATGGCTTGGTGAGTGCAGATGGGAATCTCTTTTTCTGTTTTATTGAGCTACCGTAACACAGTGAGATCTCTCAACCACCAAGTTTGAATTTCTACCCTCTGAGTAAAATTCACCATTGAGGTTCACCATAGAAGTTCTCTTTGGCCTCGGTCCCACGGGAGGTTTTGCCCCACAAGAGGGACGGGTCGGGGGCGCATCAAACGGGCGCGATCACACTGCAACATCTGGGAAGCGGAGCACACCCGTCCCCGATCCGTCCTTTCCGGGTGAAACCGCGCATCAGAAAAAACCCTAGAAAAGAGTACTACCTACCTGAAACTCTGCAGCAAGGGTGGCCGTGGGATCGCCCGCGCGCCCGTCTCCCACAGCATTCAAGGCTCCCGGCCAAACTGCGCATGCATGCACATGCACAGCCGGCTGCCTTGCTCTCCGTTCCGTGGCTTCCCCCCCGGCATCTGATCATGCCGGGGAGCAACTGTGCGGCGGCTCAGGGGATCTGGCTGATCCTGCCGCTGCGCGTCTCTTTTGGTGTGGCTCAAAAAAGCTGCGCTTTGGCCGTGCCTTTCCCCGCTGAGGGATGAGGTGTGACGGGGCTCCTCTGCCAGCCAGCTGGCCGGTGGCCGATTGGGGGGCTGGAAAGCAGGGGAATCTCTGCCCCATCAGGGGGGTTGGCAACCCTAGATTCCTGCATCATCAGTGTGTTCCACGTTTTCTTTGAACTCTCCCATTTCAGTGAAGTAATGGAATCCATTCTTGTTTTGCAATTGCATTAAATATAAATATATTTACAGGGCTATTTTTGGGCAGGAACGCACAGGAACGGAGTTCCGGCTGGCTCCCAAGTTGGCCACGCCCAGCAGGAACCCATTAGCATAATAGGCCACACCCAACAGCAGAAACTCATTAGGATTGGCTACATTAGGGGTGTGTGGCCTAACATGCAAAGGAGTTCCTGCTACAAAAAAGGCCCTGGGTTTTGACAACAAACAAGGTAAACAGAATAACAAGCAAAAGGTGGGTGTGGCTGGATGAGCACACTTCTGGTAACATGGGGGTGCAACCTAATGTGCTAATGAGCTGTGCTGTCATGGGTGTGGCCCAATATGCTAATAGGTTCCTGCTGTTGGGTGTGGCCTATTATGCTAATGAGTTCCTGCTGGGCTTTTTCTACAAAAAGAGCCCTGTAATATATAAGACAGCTTCCAGACAACTATTTTTCATTTGGCATTTCCACCATGTGTGCAGATCTGTTTTACTGTTGCATCTCTTGCAATGGGGAAATCTCTGAGGTCGTCTCTGTGGTGTCCTATACAGCACCTGATAGAAGCTCTCTTTTAAATTTATACGGCACACATACATTTGTGACATCGTTTGTTTATGTACCCGCTACCTTCTCCAACTCTCTCACAGGGCCCAATCGCCTCAGCTGCATCTCTGCTATCTACGCTAACAAGCGGCCAGAGTCCTCCTCCACTGCCACCACCTCCTCCCCCTCCTCCTCCACCACCACCACCAGGACCTCCTCCTGTCTTTGACACTGAAAATGCAAAAGATGATGCCACCACGACTCGCTCAGCCTTATTTGCCCAGCTGAACCAAGGAGAAGCAATTACCAAAGGTGTGTAGAAAATATGTATATATTTGCTGTTCTTCAATCAAGTAGTAGAAGAAGAGTAGGTCTTTATACCATTCTTTTCTCTACCTTAAAGCAGCTTACAAATCACATTCCTCTCCTCCCCCCCATAACAGTCTTATGTTCTTATCTAGCCATAGTAACTGAGGGGAACCTCCACATTCACAGGCACTAAGCCTCTGAATCCCAGAGCCAGGAGGCAACATCAGGGGAAGGCCTCAGTCTCTATGCCCTGTTGTTGGCCATCCAGAGGAACTGGTTGGCTACTGTGTGGGACAGGATGCTGGACTAGATGGACCACTGGCCTGATCCAGCAGGGCTCTTCTTATGTTCTTCTTAACAGGCACCTTGTGAGCGATGCTCCCTCTAAGCTGTGGAGTCTTGTGAGTAAAAATTCTACTTTGTGAGCTCCTGGCATTAAAGTTGTGAGTGAGCGATTTGGCTACTGCATGAATTAGTTTGCTCTGGAGCCATCCTTCCTGAGCTAAGACAAAAATGTGTGAGCCGGAAGCTAAAAAACTGTGAGCTAGCTCACACTAACGCAGCTTAGAGGGAACACTGCTTGTGAGGCAGGTGGGGCTGAGAGAGTTCTGAGAGAACTGTGACTGGCCCAAGGTCACCCAGCAGGCTTCATGTGGAGAAGGAATGGGGGAATCAAACCTGGTTCTCCAGATTAGAGTCTGCCGCTCTACACCATGCTGTCTCCTACTACACGATGCTGGCTTCTGGTGTCTTCCCTAAAAAAAACACACCTTGTTCTCATTAACTCACAAGCTAGTCTATGACAAAGTTTTCAACTTGTGAAGCAGAAGATGTCTAAATTCATTCATGTTACTGGCCCAGGTTTCAGATAAGCTAATATGAAGTTCTCAGTCATATCAGAAGGCTTTTGTTAAGATCGGGTTATTTATTTAAGTGCAGGGCTCTTTTTGTAGAAAAAGCCCAGCAGGAACTCATTAGCATAATAGGCCACACTCAACAGCAGGAACTCATTAGCATATTAGGCCACACCCATGACAGCACAGCTCATTAGCACATTAGGCCACACCCCCATGTTACCAGAAGTGTGGTCATCCAGCCACACCCACCTTTTGCTTGTTATTCTGTTTACCTTGTTTGTTGTCAAAACCCAGGGCCTTTTTTTGCAGCAGGAACTCCTTTGCATGTTAGGCCACACACCCCTAATGTAGCCAATCCTAATGAGTTCCTGCTGTTGGGTGTGGCCTATTATGCTAATGAGTTCCTGCTGGGCGTGGCCAGCTTGGGAGCCAGCTGGAACTCCGTTCCTGTGCGTTCCTGCCCAAAAATAGCCCTGTGTGCAGCCCTGTGTGCAGATGTGCAGCTTTATTTATTTAGGCTTATGACCATCGGCTTTGTTATTTTTTTCCTCAGTTCAGATGTCTTCACTTCTCTGGACACTTTGCACAACTTCAGCTAAGGCCAACAGTGATAATGTCAAGTAGTAGTTCTCCAGCATCTGGACTGAACCTGATCGATTGTAACACATTTAGAATCCAGTGGGGCACTTTTATGACCCAGCAAAGGTTTATTCAAGGTATGAGCTTCCGTGTGCAGGCACACTTGATCAAATACATTGGAATGGAAGGTAACAGTACAAACGTATAGACAGAGGCTGGACAACAAGTTAACATGTAGCATGTTGAAGGTGTTTTAAGATAGACAAAGACAAGACTAAATAGCAAGGTCAACTGCTGTTTTGATTTAATTAAGGGGGGAGAAGGACAGCAAAGCAATAAATATCTCAAATTAAAGCAACTGTTGACCTCATAGCCTTAGCTTGTTATTTAGTTTTGTCTTTGCTTATCTTAGGCCCTGTTCACACGGAGGATTTGCCGCACAAAAGGTATGAATGTTGGGCGGATTTTCTGGGCGCGATCACACTGCAACATCTGGGAAGCGTAGCACACCCGTGACGTCCCGCCGAAGATGTGCAGTAAAAATGTACAGCGGAAAGTGCACTAGTATCCGGAAAACCTGGGGCAGAGGCGGGCATCTGATCGCGGGAGCGCTAGTATCCCGCCGCAAACCGGATGTTTTTCGTAAGCGCGTGCACACAAACATGTAACTGAAAGCAGTGCTGCTCTGCGGAACTGCGCATGCGCACAAAGGCGAAACTCTTGCCGTGCTGCTTCTTTGCCACGCTCCAGCATTGCTGTGTGATTGCCAGCTAACAGCCTAAGCGTGGAAACTCGGGGGGACGTGTGATCGGGCTACCGCGCTTTATATTGCCCCCCGCATTATCTGGCCCATGTGACCGGGGCCTTAAAACATCTTCATCATGTTAATTTGCTGTTCAGCCTCTGTCTATAAATTTGAACTCTAGCTTCCTTTCCAATGTATTTGAAAATGTGTGCATGCACACGTTAGCTCCTACCTGGAATAAACCTTTGTTGGTCTTAAAGGTGCCACTTCAGACCAACATGGCTGACTACCTGGAACAGATCCGTTAGAATTTACAACCTATTGGCTCAAGTGGTTAAGACGCTGAACTGCAGGCTGTGGAAGGTCGGTAGTTCAGCAGTTTGAGACCCGAGTGTGCCGCATGACGGAGTGAGCTCCCGTCTCTAGTTCCAGCTCCTGCCAACCTAGCAGTTCGAAAGCAAGAAATTGCAAGTAGATAAATAGGTACCACTTCGTTGGGAAGGCAACAGCGTTCCGTGAGCCTCGGCGTTTAGTCATGCCGGCCACATGACCACGGAAACGTCTTCGGACAGCGCTGGCTCTTCGGCTTTGAAATGGAGATGAGCACCATAACCTTAGAGTCGGACTCGACTGGCTTTCGAGCAAGGGAACCTTTACCTTTACCTTTACCCTGTGGCTGCCTAAAGAACTCTCTTACTTCACCACCACCACCACTGGGTCTGTTCACTGGAACATTGTTTTTGTCCAGGCCTGTCACTGGTGTGCTTTGCTTTAGCCGTCAGGAAAATTATTTGCTTCAGTCTGGTCTTTAAGAAGTGGAGTTAGTGAGAGAAACCCTGACAGCCTGCTATTACTGATTTGGTAAAAATGTTGCAGGTAAAATCACCTTTATCCACTCTGACTTAAGATGCCACACTAGATACAGTAGGTGTGATGATTCTAGTCTGGTTTTTGTTGGGTACTTTTTAGTTTATGCAACCTGAGGAAATGGACAAGATCCTTGCAGATGTGAAGCCAATGGTTCGCATACTCAACCTTTTGCCTTTCCTGGTTCCTGAAAGCAGTCAAGGAGGGCATTTCATCACTTCTGGAAGAAAAAACCCTCTCTCCTTATGCTTTCAACCTTAATTACTATAGGCCAGTCTCCGATGTACTGTTATTGGGCAAGGTGATAGAACGTGTACTGTCTTCTCTCCAGTTCTGCATGAAATGGCCATTTAAAAAAATCTGTTCATCTTCAAGATGGTGTAAGACTCCTATGTGATTTTGCTCTTAATTTGTGTGGCTGCTTGTGGTTTTCTTAGGACTTCGCCATGTCTCTGATGACCAGAAGACCCATAAGAATCCCAGTCTTCGTGCCCAAGGAACATCGGTTCGCTCTCCTACAAGAAACCATACTTCAACTCCAACTACTCCCAAGACACCTCCCCAACAGAGCTACTATCCTGTGCTAGAACTTGAAGGAAAGAAGTGGAGAGTGGTAAGTTCAGCTCACCTGTAAATTACATGAGAAATAACACATTGCCTGCCCTAGATTTTCCAGTGGTCATGGCAATATGGCACACAAAAGGGCACGCGAAAGCATCTCACTACAAATAAATGTAACTTGGGGTGAATACGGCCTTTTTTTTAACTGCATAATTTCTTTTATCACAAACATAAAAGGGGGAAATTTGTCTTTCGATTTCTTCTTTGACAAACCCATGCCTAAATTATCATACATTTGTATATTTCACCTTATATCATTAAGAATATCAGTTGCAGATATATCAAATCTTAACTTTGTATGTCCTTAACGTGTTTTAAATGTCTATATTTTACTTAATATAATCTTCAAACCACTTATAAAATCTTGACCATGTATTTTCAAATGTAGTTTCTAGTTGTCCTTTCAAAATTAAAGTTAATTTGTCCATTTCCGCCGCTTCCAAAGTTTTGCTTAAAATTTCTTCTCTCAGAGGTGTTTCTGTTCTTCTCCAATATTTGGCATAAAGCATTCTAGCAGTTGTAGTCAAATACAGTATAAGATAAGAGTCATTTCTTTCACAATTTTCAGGTAAAATATTCAACAGAAATATTTCTGGGACAAAGGGTACCGAGTATTTTAACATTTTTTGTAGAATTTCATGAATCCAGGCCCAGTATTTTTTTGCTTTATCACATAACCACCACATATGGTAAAAGGATCCCACATTATTTTGACACTTCCAACATACATTTGAACATTTAGGGTCAAATTTGGCCAGTTTATCAGGTGTAATATACGGCCTTTGAGATTCAGGTGGCATACTGTAGCTCTTTCCTTTGAGCAGGTATTGAGAGTAGGTACAACCATTGTTCCCTCTAAGCTGAGTTAGTGTGAGCTAGCTCACAGTTTTTTAGCCTCTGGCTCACACATTTTTGTCTTAGCTCAGGAAGGAGGGCTCCAGAGCAAACTGATCTATGCAGGAGCCAAATTGCTCACTCACAACTTTAATGCCAGTGGCTTACAAAGTAGAATCTTTGCCCACAAGACTCCGCAGCTTAGAGGGAACATTGTACAACTGTGCTACATGAAACAGCATTATAGTTTTTCTGGAAGTACAAGAACAATTAGTGTCGTGATCAGGGATATAAGTTGGAAAGAGAGATATGCAGATATGGTCTTTCCGTCAAATCGTGTATTCTCGTACAGCTTATGCAGACATGACCTGTCGTACTGAAAATAATATTGTAACTTTGGGGAAGAATGTTTGCAATTGCAACAAACATCATCTGGTAGTTACAAAACAAGTTAACTTTGAATAAAATCATACTGTCAGCATAAAATTCAGATGTCACAACCTGACTAGATTTACAGGATAGGTACCACAAAGGCTGAACAGCAACAATGTTAAAAATGAATTAAACAAAGTTAAAGAATTTATTGTACAGTGCACTTAAAATACAAATTAAAAACACAGGCCTTCAATTTAGCCTCTAGGCTGCAACACCAGTCTAAGTAGTCCTCAGTGTACATTTTATAATACAAAGGAATATACATAAGTCGATTGACATGTAAATAAGACCACAATCGCAGTAAACAAGACTGAACACGTTTCAGTCCAATGAGCCTTCTTCAGTGATCATTAATACATAAGATACACATACACACCAAGAACAATTGTTGATGTAATAAGCCAAAAGAGGTATGTATTGATTGATTCACATTTTAATCTGTGTGGACAAATGGTGACATTTTTTGGATCGTTGATCTTGTTCATGCTCATGCATACAAATGTATGATTACAAATTATATCTACTTTGGCAGTTCATTTCCTTGTGATGTGTATGTATACATCAATCAGCAATATGACAAAATATTTTATTTTACTGTGATTGTCGTCTTATTTGTATGTCATCAACATGTGGATTCGTGTGCATTATGTAATCTTCATGGAGGACCACTTAGTTCAGTGGTTTCAGTTTGGAGGCTAAATTCAAGGCCTATGTTTTTAATTTGTATTCTAAGTGCACTATACAATAGATTGATTTATTTAATTCATTTTTAACATTGTTTCTGCTCAACCTTTGTGGTTCTTGAGTCAATTTTTGGGTTGAGTTTGTATTTCCCTTTTTTTGGTGTATTAGATTTACAGTATAAACACAGTTCCTCCAGTCTCTGCACCTGTTCGGAGATGATTTCTTGAACTCTGCTCCACCATAAATATTTAGAGAATTAATATCTGAACATGTTTTTCTTGTTAATATTTTCAAATAATAGAACTTCAAACATTTATAAGGAAAATACATGACTTACACAAATTACAGATTCTGTGACCATTAACAGAATTAATATCTGAACATGTTTTTCTTGCTATTATTTTCAAATAATAGAACTTCAAAAGTTCATAAGGAAAATACATGAAACCAGAACAGACTTACACAAATTACAGATTCTGTGACCGTTAGCCTATTGTTCATTATTAAAGCATGACTTTGGAACTAATCACTTGCAATATAGTGGAAACAAAATGAAATTTTGATGGTGCAACTTCAGATTAAATATTCATCAGTTTTTGTGAGATCTTTTTGACTGAAAGAATTGCTAATTTATCGAGACCAGTGAGTAATTAATGTATTGGTTGGGTTGTATTATTTGTCATTTTAAAATAATACAGGAATACCAGGAGGACAAGAATGACCTTTTAATTACTGACACTGAACTCAAGCAAGTTGCTTACATTTTCAAATGCAACAAATCTACATTACAGATGAAAGGAAAAATCAATTCCATTACAATCGGTAAGTACCTTTCCTCCTAGGCCTAAATCTAAATTCAGCAAAGATGTTTACAGGTGATATGTTCTAAAGTACAATCAGTACTGCTGTCAAAATCTGTTGGGGATAAAAATATGAACACCTTTACCAAGTGGATTAACTTTTGTTAATTTTGTGTAGGTGCCAGGTTAAGATGTAAACATTTTTTTCTGGATTATGCTTTTGATGCTTCTGTTATTGATGTTGATTGAATTTCACCTGGATTTAAGGATAGTTTGTGTTTTATTTTGCTCCTTTAATCCTTTTAGTTTTATTACATGTTACTTGTTCTAGATTTTATTCTGTGCTCCACTGTAGTTTTTTTGAAATGCTGAGAATAAGTAAATATAAATTACTCTAGTTAGCCCAGTTCTTTGATCTATGCTTTCTTATATGGCAAACAATGTAGCTGAACAAATTATGTCACTGATTAATAAACTTTCCCACCCGCAGACAACTGCAAAAAGTTTGGCCTTGTGTTCGACAATGTTGTGGGTATTGTTGAAGTGATCAATTCCAAGGATATTCAGATACAGGTAAACATTCATTCAGAACACTGATACCCCCCCAAAAAAAATCCAAACAAAAAATGTTTCAGATGATAGACATAACAACTGAAAACTTCACTAAATCATAAGTGAGATGTTCAAAACTAGCACTGATGAGTGAGTCCCTGGATTTGGACTCATTCTTGCCCACTAAATCTTAAGATATTTACCATAGTCGGCTGTATTTATTTATTTATTTATTTATTCAATTTCTATACCGCTCCATCCCGGAGGCTCTGAGCGGTTTACATGGGTATTTGTGATAACCATCCCCAGAATAGCGTTCCACAGACACAGTGTAGACTGTATGTAGAGAGTAGCATTCATTATCAATTAGCTGGAGTTCCTCAGACCAAATCTTCCTCATCTGTCATCGCTCAGCTGCACGCACGCACACCCCAGTCTGTAATATGGGGACAATAATGCTGGCCTCCCTTACAGGATTGTTGTAAGAATTACTGAGATAATGTTTGGGATTGGTTAGGAAGTGTTAAAGGTAAAGGTTTCCCTTGCTTGAAAGCCAGTTGAATCTCCATTTCCAAGCTGAAGAGCCAGTGCTGTCCGAAGACGTCTTCGTGGTCATGTGGCTGGCATGACTAGACGCTGAGGTGCACGGAATGCTGTTACCTTCCCACCTTGGTGGTCTCCCATCCAAATACTAACCAGGGCCAGCCCTGCTTAGCTTCCAAGATCTAATGAGACAGGGCTAGCTTGGGCTATCCAGGTCAGGGCATTTTCTATATACACATGCATTATGACCTTGGACAACCTCTGCTCTTTCACAGAGAAAGGAGGTAGGGTAGAAGAAGGAATGAGCATTGCTCCTGACAAGCAGTGACTCAACCCCCTCTGTTCCTTCCTTACATCGGTGGAATTGTTGAAAAGAGTCAGCTGTTCTTGTTTTCTGGGAAGTCATTTTGTAATGCTCCAGTTTCAGAGACTGACTGGCAGGATTGCCAATACCTATATGTGGACAGATGACGAGGGTTGCTCTAAATTAGGTTTCACGTGAGCATTGGATCCTTAGAAAAGTAACATGGACTGTTTTTATCTTTCCATGTGCTGGTCACACCTACTTGACACCAGGGCTTTATAGAAAGCAATGACACCGTTTTATCAAAATTACAGTGCCATTTGTCAAAAAGTTGTTTCTGGCAGACTGGCAGTGGCATATAAGGGGAATGACCCGTCTTGCGCATGACCCATAGAAATTATGGTATATATTGTTATGATCAGGGCTATTTTTGGGCAGGATCGCACAGGAACGGAGTTCCGGCTGGCTTCCAAGTTGGCCACACCCAGCAGGAACGCATTAGCATAATAGTCCACACCCAACAGCAGAAACTCATTAGGATTGGCTACATTAGGGGTATGTGGCCTAACATGCAAAGGAGTTTCTGCTACAAAAAAGCCCTGGGTTTGGACAACAAAGAAGGTAAACAGAATAAGAAGCAAAAGGTGGGTGTGGCTGGATGAGCACACTTCTGCTAACATGGGGGTGTGGCCTAATATGCCAATGAGCTGTGCTGTCAGGGGTGTGGCCTAATATGCTAATGAGTTTCTGCTGTGGGTGTGGCCTATTATGCTAATGAGTTTCTGCTGGGCTTTTTCTACAAAAAAAGCACTGGTTATGATCCATGGTCAATACAATAAACTGAAACTGCCATAGAAATTGGCACATTAGCCAACCTGGGCAAGGGGAGAGAGATTTGTTCATTGGTGTTAACAGCTTCTTTGTTTTGCACATTTTTATTAGTTATAAACTCTTCCTGTTGTCCTTCAGGTACTAGGGAAGGTCCCAACCATTTCCATTAATAAGACTGAAGGCTGCCATATATACCTCAGTGAAGAATCGCTAGACTGCGAGATTGTGAGTGCTAAATCTTCTGAAATGAACATCCTTATCCCCCAAGATGGTGATTATGTAAGTGTAATGATTTTTATGTTCTCTGATACCAGGTATACATATGGGAATCATGCACTGCGTCACTTTTGCATGTACTCTCCTTTGTTGGACAAACAATCCCTGCCCTGGGTTAAGAGGATTTTCTTCAGTCATTTTCATGGAAAACTATTCATATTGTTATAGCTAGAAGTTGTTGTTGTTCAGTCGCACAGTCAAGTCCGACTCTTCGCGACCCCATGGACCAAATCACGCCAGGCCTTCCGGTCTTCCGCCGTCCTCTGAAGTTTGCTCAATTTCATGTTCGTTGCGTCTATGACACTGTCTAACCATCTCACCCTTTGCCGTCCCCGTCTTCTTTGACCTTCAGTCTTTCCCAGCATCAGGGTCTTCTCCAGTGAGTGCTCCCTTCTCATTGGGTGGCCAAAGTATTTGAGCTTCAGTTTCATTATCTGGCCTTCCAGGGAACAGTCAGGGTTGATTTCTTTTAGGATAGACTGATTTGATCTTCTTGCAGTCCAAGGGACTCTCAAGAGTCTTCTCCAGCACCATATTTCAAAAGAATCTATTCTTCGGTGCTCGGCCTTCCTTATAGTCCAACTCTCGCAGCCATACATGACTACTGGGAATACCATTGCTTTGACCATGCGGACTTTTGTTGGCAGGGTGATGTCTCTACTTTTCATCATGCTGTTTAGGTTCGCTCCTATTAATGTTAAAAGAAGCTTACCTCACGTGGTTCAAATAGCGATGTTATGAGGACAGCAGAATACTAATATTATTTCTAAAGCACTTTCAAGTCAAAGCGTTGTATACCAGATACAACTGGAGACATGCCCTGCTTACTTGCTTAAAAACAAATATCTAAAGAAATCTAGGTAATAGGAAAGGGCACAATAAGGAAGAAAACAGAGGAGAATTAAGTAACAAGCAATGTCCCCAAAAACCTGGAAGTATGAGCCCCAGAGGAACTTACAATCTATTAATCAACACCTCTTGGTGGTTCCTGGCCCCAGGGACATCCGACTTGCCTCGACGAGCGCCAGGGCTTTTTCAGCCCTGGCCCCTACCTGGTGGAATGAGCTCCCATCAGAAATCAGGGCCCTGCGGGACCTATTACAGTTCCGCAGGGCCTGCGAGACAGAGCTCTTCCACCAGTGGGCGCCCACCTGCTATTGGCCTCCCCTCCAGTGACCTCAGATCTGAATGGCCACCTGGAAAACAAACTACTTCTTGTTGAAATCTTTTGAGGCACCGGCCTTTCATTGATTACTGTTTTTAGATAGGTTTTTAGATATATTTTAACTGTGGATTTGTTGTCTTGTGAATTTTATGATGGAATTTTATGATGGAACCCGCCCTGAGCCGGCTTGCGGGATACAAATAAAATTAAATAAAAATAAATAAAAAATATAAGGAATTCATCACGAGCCTCTTTTTTTGCCTGTGCTGCTTTCTGGAGTAGGAAACCTGGGAGCTAGGCCTCCTGCATCTTACTTTACCCCCCATCTAAAACTGTTGTCTCCAGAAAGACACCCCCAAATGTAGCTTTCCCTTCTAGCCATATTTGCATCTCCTCCTGGGTGGGACTCAAGCCCACATCTCCAGTGTTCAGTGGCACTGCCATTTCC